AAACAACAATGCAAACATCCCAATAAATCCCAGATATTTTGACGAATATTTAAACCTATCTTGATAGATGTTGACATGTTTGGATTTGTAAGTTTAGTCGTATTCCGTTATTTTAAATTTTAATCCTAAATCACCGTTGTAAGTTCACAACTTACTAAGGCCACAATTTATACATGACACTAGCTGGCCTGTTCAATTAACAGATTCTTCTGTAAACCTAAGTTGCAAAATAAATCACACTTTCTTTCCCCGAGAGCATAACAAAGTAAAATAAGATTCCAAATCAATCAAAAATGTAATTCCAAGTATCAATATCGCTTGATTGGGCCACCAAAAATTTCAGCAATGCAACAAACATGTCTGTTTTTGTGGCTGTTTCTGTGAACACATCAGTGAGAACACGAATCAAGGTTTCATGTTTGTGTCTCTCGCATTCAGACAAAGTTTCCAACGTTTCTTCTGTGCATTGTTGAATGAAAGCTCCGACATCTTCGGTGGGATTTAAATCTGGAGGGTTCCAAATCCACATTCTACCACTTTTTCACGGACCATCCTTTCAAATTCAACAATTCTGAAACTTTTGAGGCATTAATCGGATTTTTCCAATCTGGCATTGCGATGTGTCGATTGGAAGACTTGAATTCTCGGAGCATGTGTGCGACTAGTTTCTGAGTCATCCCGAAGGTAGCACATGCTAGTGAGCACCATGATTCAAAAGGTTTCGCAAAAAAATGAAATTCTAAGAGTACGTTGAAATTCGCGGTCCTACAAAGTTCGTCATTACTTCGGGGGGGCAACACCCCTTAATTAGAAATCTGAAATGGGATAAATGAAAATCGCTTTCTTGGACTGAGTATGAAGAAGTTCATAAAATAAAGTCCATAGCGGTAACCCTAAACTTGACTGTATACATGATCGTATTTGATTTCATGCACGTACGCAGGGAGAGTTCGAGGGGATTCGACTGAACCCCCTATTTTTGTGATGTTAAAAATTATACTTATATAGTTATAGAGAAGCTGCTTATGGTATTTAACGTTTTCTATAAAGTCTACATTCTTATGGCTCCCCAGTGGCACAGCGGTATGTCCCTATTACTGCACATTTCGACTGTAGTTTTAGTAGTTTTTAAACTTCACAAACCAGGATCTCAAAACTTCCCTATTACTGCACATTTCGACTGTAGTTTTAGTAGTTTTTAAACTTCACAAACCAGGATCTCAAAACTTCCCTATTACTGCACATTTCGACTGTAGTTTTAGTAGTTTTTAAACTTCACAAACCAGGATCTCAAAACTTCCCTATTACTGCACATTTCGACTGTAGTTTTAGTAGTTTTTAAACTTCACAAACCAGAATCTCAAAACTTCCCTATTACTGTACACTTCGACTGTAGTTTTAGTAGTTTTAAACTTCACAAACCAGGATCTCAAACTTCCCTATTACTGTACATTTCGACTGTAGTTTTAGTAGTTTTTAAACTTCACAAACCAGGATCTCAAAACTTCCCTATTACTGTACATTTCGACTGTAGTTTTAGTAGTTTTTAAACTTCACA